AGAGTATCATTAATTTGCTTAAACAGCGCATAGTGACAATAAGTTCCACACGTCGAGCAGTGATAAAACGAGAACCAGGTCAATGTCCATTGTGTGAAATGGCAATGCATCGCACACGCCAACCAAAGCCATCCAGTTAACTCAGGCTCACAGTGACCCCACAGGATAGAACAGAACGCACCCTGTGGGTGTCTGAGACTGTAACTCTTTACAGAAGTAGAAAGCCTCAACTTTCTCCTGAGGAGAGTCTAGTGGATTCAAGCTGCAGACGTGGTGGTAATTACTATGTCGCCAGGGCTCTATCTTCCCTGCTTCTATACAGGACAAAGACTGCTGCTTCCCTATCCTTCACCAAAGAAAGGAGAAAAACCTTAGAACTTGAAGGCTAGATGGAAAGTATCCTGCCTTTTGACTCTAGCCTTCTGAAATGTAACTAAAACCTTTAGAGGGCCAGAAAGCACTGTATGTCTGATTTTACAATCCAGACAGTAAGTTTGAGCTTCCTCCTCCCTCTGACATACATATAACCAAGGAGACAGCTCTCCAGGCTCAACGACTTCTAGAGGTGTATCCTAATAAGTTACTCAAGCTGTGACCAAATGACCATCATGGGGAAAAGGGGGAAGTTTTAATAAAAATATTTTGGGATCAGAGCAATTAACTAGACAAATGGCTATAGACCTAGTGCTCATGACATATAAAGAATAAAATGACCTCCACTACTAACACAGAGGCTGGAAGTTCGAGTCCTCCTAGAAGCAACTTGGAAGGCCTGGTGATATACTTCCACAGAAACAATTATAGAAAAATCCTGTGCAATGTGTGACGAATTGCTTCTGCAAACAACTGCACGCATCCTTTGCTACACCAGAAGAACCGGATGTTGCCCAGTTACCATGAGTCTCATTTTTATCAAAAACTGTATAGAATCCTGACCAAAAGGGAAAATACATGTGCCAGAATTTCAAATTCTCCTGGAAACTAGACATTCTGGAGAAAGGCAGGCTGGGTGAATCCTTGAAACAATTGCCTTGAGATCATCTTTATTAAGCCTTATACCAAAATATTCCCCTGTAGAACTCTTACAACCAAAGAATGAAAAACTAAAGGCAGGGATAGCACAGCTGAACTTAGTAGTGATGTCTGCCTTGAGCAGTGTGCTACCCACACGGATCACACTAACAACAGTAACTTGAACAATTAGAAAGGAAACTCAGGGACAGTGTGTGCATGTTAACAGAGGAGGAACTACTCAGGAACGTGAGAAGGGGTACAGAACTTCAAGAACGGTAACTGAATGAGAGGTTCAGAATATATCAGCATCTCATGGTGGCTGAGCCTAGGAGTTGAGGTTAGCGTTATGAATTCTGGTGGCCTAGTACGTGTAAGGTGCTAACTGCAAGGTCAGCAGTTCAAGGTCACGAGGAGAAAGAGGAGGCTTTCTACTACTGCAAAGAGTTAGTCAGTCTCAGAAATCCCTCAGAGCAGCTCTGCCCTTGTTTGAGAAGGTCACTATGAATTGGAATCAACTCAATGACAGTTTGGTTTTGATTTAATGTAGGAGTAAGTCCAATCCCATTTTGTCACAAGTTCCTGCTTCTGTATTACCCAGGTTATACGCAGAAACCCTCAGATTAAAGTGTTATACCAAAATAAAATAACTGTCGAAACCTGAGTTCAAATTTCATCGTGACTCATGCTAACTACTTTAACAATCATCATCCTAGTACAAAGTTAAAAGCCTATGACTAAGAAACTCTTTGCTCCTTGAGTTAAGAGCACTAAGAAATCCAAGAAATTTTCTTTTCTTACATACATAACTGAGAGCACTCAGATACATAACAAAGGATTTCCCATGCAACCATCAAACC